CCGAGAAGAAGCCACAGCCAGCTACTAAACTTCTCAAGAATTACCATGGAAAGCAGGGAGGGTTTGAAAACCTGCACCCTACTGCTTAATATGCTGCAAAAAATGGAAAGCCATTTCTGTTGTATTTTGCTTTGGATTTTAATAACTTTTTTTGGACTACTTTTGAGTATATTAACTTAGAGCCTTTGTGATGTTCACCTGGCTAATCTTACTGAATAGTGGTGAACAGCAGTCAAAAAATTGAGGCCTGATTCCTGCTTGACCGGGCAGTGAGTTCCCACCTCCTTCCACTTCTTGGAAATGTGTGGGTTTATAAAGAGTGTTTTCTGCATACAGTTATCCACAGGTCTGGTCCAGCTTTAGATAAGGTCAGTAAGATGTCTTAATGCCTTTTCTGAGGCTTGAGGAGTGCTCGTTGTAACTGATGAAATGGAGCTTTTGTTGCATCAGCTGTTTTGTTCAGAGGTGATGTAACACTGCAGTGGTGTAGCTCTCCCCTAGGTACAGCCGGGGTCACCTGCATCTGTGCAGTGCAGGCACTATCCACGTGGGCCAAAATTGTGTCTCACTGAGGTCAATTAGTTAAACTGTCAATACATAGCAATCCTGGAGCTCTAATCCTATAGGATTATCTCAAGCTTGGCTATGAGTCTGGGGTTGTAAGGGAGTAAATCTGTCCCTGGAAGCCAGCAGATGCTCATAATTGGCAGTGGAACATTAGTTATTATCGCTTATCTCCAAGAAATAATGAAGAGAAAGCAATGATCTCTAACCAATAGAGCAACAGGGCTGATGCATGTGGTTTGCAATTGGAATTCTAGTTTGAAATTGGAAGGCACATGTTTTAATTATGGGGTATAACTGGAACCAAAGAGCATTGCAGTTCTGTGCCAGGGTATGAGAGAATTCTGATGAGGTTTTTTTTTTTTTTTCTCAACATTGGGACTTGATAGACACTTCTTCTAATCTACAGAAATGTAACATAATGCACTATTAATAGAAGTTAATGTAACACCTGTGCAGTCTGATTGGCTCAGGGAAAACCTCATCAGTTTATACTGTATGTTTAAGCAAGATGAATGGGGAAATCAGGATTCAAGTAGCACAAAGCATCTGATTTGTACATGAGGAACAGTAGTGCTTTTTTTGTCTCGTGTTCAGCTCATATGTTAAACATTAGATACTAAATCATCATAACTCAAATCATAAAAAGCTAAGGCTCCATCAGGAACTGATGCTCAGATGTGTTTGTGTTCAGTATGCTGTATGGCCGAGCTGCTGTTTTCTGCACAGTAATAAGGCAAACCTGCCATGGGATAGAAGATCAGTAAAATGTCCGTATGCTGGAGTCTCTGAGAGTTTAATCTCTGGCTCTGCAGTCTTGACATTGGGGCATTATTTTGGTATATGAATATGGATTCTAGAGTCTGACTGGGGCATTCAGACCTGGATTGACTGTAGTGACTGTAGACCTTGCACACTTTCAGGAAGAAGGCCCAGTGAATAAAATGAGTCATACTGTGACCATGGGTGGAGGGAAATGAAGAATTTGCCTTTGTCAGTTGTTGTTTGCAGAGGAAGTTCTTGGGTTTTAATGTCAGTGTTTCGTCTGCTGATACAAGGAGATAGTGATAGATAGGAGAGCACCTCCTCACCCCCCCAACCTCCTTCCTTTTGCAGAGAGAGGTTTTGCTTGCCACTGAGAAAGTTAAAATGGAGCATGCAGAAAAACCTGACCCGCACCATTTGGCATAATGAGCTCAAACTTGATTGAAATTCTCCTATTAAAATGCAGCCAAGTAAGTAGCCATACAGTAATGACTGGAATGTGTCCTCAGTCTGGAAGGACTCTGTTGAGCACGTAGCACAGCTCGGTGTATAGGCTGATTCATTTGGACTGCTGCAGTCATGCTGAAATTCACACTGGTGCATGTCCCGTGTCATACTTCTTTAGTTACTTGCACACTGTTATTTTTAAATGAAGTAATTTGGCTTCTATAATTGAATTCTGATTTTTCAAACATACCCCTTGAACAGCAGACATTGTGAACAGCAGCTCTGTTGGTCACAAGTCACAATGTGCTTGACACGTATGATATGTTTTGCTTAATTTATTCAGCCAAAGACTAGATGCACAGACTTAAGTCCCTAATAATGTTGATGATCCTCATAAACATTTATAATCCTCATCATCTTAAGTAACTTCTCTTGCAGAACCTGGAAGCACATGTTTAATCTTCTCTGCTGTGGTCTTTAGGGCAGATAAGTGGTGAAGAAGTACAGAGGAGTTATGCCACTTTTTAATGGGTCTTTTCACTACAACTTGAAAATACATTTCAGGATTTCCCATACTGTCTACCTGAACTGATCCAACCCTTTGCAAGCGCCTGCTCATGGTGCGTGCTACTGTTGAACTGAGCTGTAAGGACTTGCAGTGATGTACCTGACAGGATTCAAGACTTACGTGTTTGATGAGCCTTGAAAACTAGTGACAGGATTTCTGACACAAGTTCTTTGAAGTCTGGGGGGGTTTAAATAAATCTGCTTTGAAATACTTCATTTACAGTGGAAAATAACTTATGCAAGATTTGGACAGGGGTATGAGCGCTGGGAGGAATCTAAGGCTGCCCGTTTCCTTTGAGGTCATGTTGGATTGACACTTTTTATCTTTAAAGAAAGCTGAAAAGTTACATTTTTCATTTACTGATCTCAACAGGTGCCTGTTTGAGATGCCACAGAACGTTCGGGGCATCTTACCTCAGGTGGCCTATCTTTCCACTTTATCTTCTGTTGGCTGCACTGTTGATTCCCTGATGCCTCCTTAGGTCTTCCCTCTGCCTGAATTGCCATCAAGATCACGTTATATTGTAAAAGGTCATATTTTAGTTGATTGGCACCACTGCTGTCAGTAGTATGCAGATGGGTGGATTAAACCAAATTATGTATTTCAGTTCCAGCAGCTTCTAGTTGTGTTCACAGTGTTGAAACAAAAGGTTTATGACCCGATTTCTGTAAGTGAAATTCCAGACAAGATTTTTACCACCAAGCTTTGAATGAAAAGGTAGAAATAATAAAAATCTATATAAGTTGGGAAATCAGTGCCTCTATTTTCTTAAATTTATGGTTGTTAATGTAAAAAAAAATAAATTACATATAAATCTCATCTGTCTTTCCCTGGAGCATAACAGAACTGAGAAGAAAATATATCTATTCCCACGTCAAGAGTAGCTCAGAAACAGATGCTTTGCAAAAGAATTACTGTGAGATATTACGGTTAGATGCACTGTTGCCAAAAGTAGAAATGAAGTTATTAAATGGCCTTTCTGAAAGTGTGGTTGGTTGGATTACAAACTCCTGTGATGACTGGTACGTTTCTGAAAAAACCTTTGAAAATGATGCCAGACATATGTACAGGGAAAAGAAGGAAACACTTTAAACCAAAACCCACCCACACAGTATGTCCTGATTTTATATGTGTACCACGCAAAAGCGAGTATTTTACTTGAAGGTTTCACCATTCAGGGTTACACTTCACAAGGGCAAATTACGGGTTGTGGGAGCGTTTATTTCTATGGAAGTGGTGAAAACTTGGCTGATGTTATTTTCTGTTTTCAAAAAAGTGTGTGTTCTCATAATACATCAGCTTAATTTTGTGTCTCATTCAGTGACACTGAATAACAATGACACTGTTTTCTTAATAAAAATTATGTATTGCTTTTAACTGATCCAGTCTTAACTGTTAGATATGAATAAAAGCGAGTCTTGTTTATACTAAGAAAAGCATTCTGAGGGACAGCACTGTCCCCCAGTGTCATACATAATGCATGCAGAAAAGCTTTTCTCTCAAGCAAAACTCTATAGATGAAGCCTTAAAGAGGGTTGGAGTTATTTTTTGAGCCTTGTGGATCCTACTATATTCCCAGATTGTCCCTCCTTGACAAGGTGATGTCAGGCATCTCTTTTCTCAGCTGTTTTGTACCAAGGACAGGAAGCACATGGACTCTGGTCCATCCATCCATCATGTCTGCTGTGTTGCACCTATCCACAGCTGTTCTCATCCTTGTTTTTTCAGCTGAGCATGATGTTTCTTGTTTCTTCCACAAACTGTTGCATACTGGTTGTTATTCATTTCGGTTATCTGCTTGAGGGGCAGCTGTGCTTTGTGTGTGTGTCACTTCAAAGAAACATAGGCAATGTAAGATTTTTTTTTTTTTTTATTGAGGCTGAAACCCCTTATTTTGCAAGTTTTAAAAACAAGAACCTTTGCATTTGGTTACCAGAAACAGTGTCTAAGGAGAGCTTGTTAGAGTGGCCTTTTTATAGGAGAAATAAGTCCTTTGTGGGAATGGCCTGTTCTTGATGAGAGATTTGTTGTAGTACATTTTCAGCTTCAAAATGGAGTATGTAGCTGGCCAAAGGAGTGGAGAGGGGAGTGCATCTGTGCTCAGAGCCTGGAACAGTTCAGGGAACGCTTGCTTGGGCCAGGAGGGATCTTGCTTTGCTTCATGGGTTGAAGATACTAAAGTGCCCATAAACTCAGCCAAACAGTGGCACAGGAGTGGTGTAAAACTAGAAGACAGCCCGAAGGCACTTGTATCCACTGCTCTGGGGGGTTGTGGTCATTTTAGTAACAATACTTTTCCCACCCTTACCAGCAGTTACTATAAAGGCAGAAGATACCCCACTCGCCTCCCTGGCAAAAAGATGGTTTTCACACAACTGCAGACAACTACTTTATACAACTTTTTTCAACTGCTCCCAGCGAACATTGTCATAATAACACCAGCAATAGCAACACATCCACTGGTTTGCAGGTCCAGTAACCACACAACTGTTACAGCTTTGCAAGCCCCCTTTATTTTTGTTTAAGGAGCAGTGCTGTGATGTAGCTTTTGATCCATCTTCAAATGTTTGCATGTCAAACCTCTAGCAACGTGGTGAAAAGAATATTGCCTCTAACAGATACATTGAAATTATTTCTTTTCCCCTGCAGATTGCTAGTTGGAGCTCCCCGGGAAAAGGCCTTTCCAGCCCAACAAGCCAACAGAACGGGAGGGTTGTACAGCTGTGACATCACATCTCCGAATGCACGTTGCACACGTGTTGTATTTGATGAGGAGAGTAAGTTCTTCAGAACTTTTGGATTGAAACAGTTGTCTGATTTCTCTTACCTGACGATATGTCCCTTTCCAAAGGCAGTGAACCAGTAGTTATTTGTATGGATTTATTACACGTAACATTTTTTGCATCAGAGTAAGTTGTAGCTTAATTGCTAAGATAGTAGCACGAGATGCTTAATTCTTGGTAGATTTGGATGTTCTTACTCTTTCATAAAAGGATGTGGCATGAAGCAATATGCCAAGAACCATTTAATAGAAATGGATGTTGTCAGTGATAAAATGTACAGACACTGCCACCTGCAGACTGTCCCCTGTGCTGTATGAAATGCCTGTTCTGACAGGGACTTCTAAAAAGAGGGGGGGTGGGGGAAGGAAGAAAGGACAATAAAGTATTTAACTGTTGATATTTGAAGCTGTGTTATGATATTCTGCAGCTGACCCGAAGATGGAGAGTAAAGAAGACCAGTGGATGGGTGTAACTGTCCAAAGTCAGGGGCCTGGAGGAAATGTAGTGGTAAGTCCAAAGGACTGACTTAAAAACATGTTTTCGGTCTGCAGTGAATGTTGTGAATAGTCTGTGTTTCTATAGAGCTTTCTGAAAGGCAACTTCCCAGTGTTTGCTCCTGGGATTTATTTTAAGGAAGGACTTGCATATCTCCCTAGCAAAGTAAGACACTTGAGACTGCAAAAGCTTTAAGTTATTTTTCTGAGATAGCCTTTCTTTATAACCTTCATAACAATCTAGGATGGAGAGTTCATTTCCAGGGTGTCCACTTAGGTTTTTTTGGTGATACATGCCTTGTTTCTTTTAAATGCCATGGGCTACAGACATAGGGAGAAATAGTGTGATAAGGTTGTAAAAGGAGCAGGATGTCATCTGCCTGTTTTCCAGGATGATCAGCTTCAGTAAACTGTTAAAACTTCACCAGGGGTTTTGTCTGAGTTGCTCCTATGAGTTAATGTGGCCATTGCACTGCAGTAAGACCATGTGCTAGTCTTTATTTTAGACATTACAGAGATACTTCATACAATACAGAGAGAAAAAGCTTTCAGGAGTTCCCAGAGAATGTTACTTTCTTAGCCCATTCTTAGTTAAATAAACCTCTCCTGGTGCTGTAGGATACTGGCCACATCATAACATGGGTGTGCAGTGAGGTTTCCCTACCTAATTATATTCCTGCAAGTTACTGTCAGGGCTTCCCAAACTGGAGGCAGGCAACCTCAGGGTGTGAATCTGGAGTCGTTTAACAATAGAGGCAGTAATAACTTGCCTCAGTCTGCCTTGGAACCCAAAGAGAGAGGAGAGCAGACAGAGAATCCTGTTCACTGAATAATTAATCATCAACTAATGCTGTCTTGTCTGAGAAGGAACTTTTCTTTTTAAGTGATAAGTGGGAAATGCTCTTATTAGATGAGTTGTGGGCAGCCTGAAGGTCACTGTGCAGCAGGGCGGTACTGCAGTGCTCTGAGAGTGGAGCAGCTGGACACTTGCTTAATATTTAAGCCTTAATAGGAAATGTAGAAATGGTGCATCAGATGAGAAACCTGGCTTGCTTATGATATTCATACACCTACTGCATCTGGTTCTGCAAAAAACACTGCTGGTTTGATTGTTCCATCTCTTTTTACAATGGTTTGGTGTTTACACCACTTAACCCAGTGGCTATTCATCCTCTGTGTTAAATATTTGATTAGTGTTCTGTTCCCAGGTGAACATTCTAAAAGGTTAAGGAACAGGTTGTGCTTGGTGCTGCTGCTGCTCTGTCCTAGTGACAGTTATTCTGTAAGTGGAACAGACAACACAGGAAATAGGAACAACTTCCCTTCACTGGAAGAGCTTTCAGCCTCTGCTTTAGGGCACTTTCCTGGCAGGGGTGTGTTCTGGATAGTCTCAGGTGGATGGTAGTTGAACCAGCCTCTCATGTTCTGCACAAGCATGTACGTCATTTAACTCTGCCAGCTGCGGGGAAACACGTCCGCTTCTTCTCTTACGAGAGATAGGGTGGTTCCTTCCTCCCTTCTTGAAGGAGAGGTAATGGGTATCAAGGAAAGCTTTAGGGCTAAAACCCGTAAGTCCCACAGAGGAGAGGGATTTAACCATGCGGCCTTCCTTGAACATAAAACTGGTTGCTCTGACTTGTATCCATAGATGCCTAACTTTTCCCATACATTGCCCGTAAGGAACAGTGAGCGCTCTCTGCATTGCAACATGGATATGTCTACAAGGTGACAGCACTGCTAGCATGAATTATTGCTAAAGGAGCCCAGCCTTCTTTTGATGACTTGCATACAAACGTACAGAAAGCATCACTTGTTATTTCTTCTGTCTTGCAGACATGTGCACATCGCTATGAGAAAAGGCAGTATGTAAACACAGTGCAGGAAACCCGGGATATCATTGGAAGGTGCTATGTGCTGAGCCAGGATCTCACTATTAAGGATGATATGGATAATGGAGTATGGAGTTTTTGTGATGGTCGTTTAAGAGGCCACGAGAAGTTTGGTTCCTGTCAGCAAGGTGTTGCTGCTACTTTTACTAGAGACTATCATTATATTGTGTTTGGTGCCCCAGGCACTTACAATTGGAAAGGTATGACCTGGCTTCCTTCCTGCCTATCCTTCCCATTTCCTTGCTGCTCACAAGGGTTGCATCCTAAGTTTTCTTGATTTTTTTTTTTTTTTTGGAAAGGGGCTGGGATAATAGGAATCTAATTATCCCGTTTTCACAAAATGCATGCTCCTATGTCAAAGGTTTTTATTGATGTTCCTTTAAATATCTTTATCCTGCAGTATTCTTCATTTTATTCTTTGTGAAGTCTGTGGAAAGTAGGACTTACCAAATTAAATACTGGAGGATTGTGGAAGATAACTGAACAGAGTCATACTACATGTATTCATATCTAAATCCATAGATAATCTGTCTGATTAAGAGCCAAGTACTCTGTATCATCTGGGAGATAATCCAAAACTGAAGGGGGAAAATAACCGTGGTTTTTCTATTAGTTTATACTGAGAAGCATCTAAATGGCCAGCTCTGTCTGAAAGTGATTTTTCCTGTCACACTTCATTAGACCAACAGCTGTAAATATTTCCCTCTTTAGAACATCTGATCCTTGAACCATAACATTTTTCCCTCGTACACCTGCGCCTGCTATGTGAACCGTGCCAAATCTGTGAGTTAAGCTCTGGCACAAGGTGTACTTTAGTGAAAACTTAATCTTCCCTGTATCTGTCAACAGAACCTGACCAAGCTGAAACAGCATATTGAGTTCACACACTGTTTGGCTTTAATTGCAGAGAAGCGCTGTGACAGTCTATCAGTCGTAAGAGTACTCTTCTGTATCATGGAAAACATGTTTGTGCTTGCCAAAATGTTAAATATGCCCCTTGATAAAAGGGGAGCACGTATTTTATCGACCCATAGCTCTTTTCCCTGTAAACAGTGTTTTCTGAATACATCACCAGTGACTGTCATAGCTGAACAGTCATTTTTAATTATTTTTTTTAATTCCTGTGTATTTACCTCCCTTCTAAGAGCAACTTCATGAAGTCAGGAGCTATGGGATGGGGGTGGTTCCTCACCACATTGGTCCAGTGTTTTTGCTGAGAATTTTCTTGGTCCCATCTTTTCCAGACCATGGCGTGGCCTGTCTGGAGAGCAGCCTGAGTGGCACACAGATACACTGCAGAAATTCATTGCCTTTGAAAATGCTTTCACCCAGTGCATTATTCTGTGTTTGTCCTATTTAAACAGCAGTCACTCTCTCATTCATCGTAATTAATGTAATTTGGGAACCATTTATCTGTTATTTTTCTCCCTTACCATTCATTTGCTTTTATTTTATCATTTCATTTCCCCAGGGGTGGTTCGTGCAGAGCAAAAGAATCAGACATTTTATGATCTGGGTATCTTTGATGATGGGCCTTACGAAGTTGGTGATGAGAGCCGCCAAGATAAGAATCTAGTTCCTGTTCCAGCTAACAGTTACTTAGGTAGGATTAAGTACATATGGTGAATCTCTTTAGGCGAAAGTGTTTATTTGTGATCCCAGCCTGGTGTGGTGAAACGAAATGGGAGCAGAAAACCCTTTATTTGTAAAATGTTAATCCATTTTGGATAATTCACATCTTCCTCCACGCTCACAGACCAGTTTTAAGTGTAAGGTGATATTCTGCAGGGGTACCTAGGAAACATGCTAAGGTAAGGAAGAGGTTTAAGAGCTGTGATGAGGACCTACAGATTCTGAGGGAGCGATTATAATCGCTCTGATGGTTAAGTACAGTGTATTGATCTGTAGTCCTTAGTCACAAGGTCTTTGCCATGTGGTATCAGGAGGTTTATAAAAATACAAGTTTCTGGGTATGCCTGTCAAGCCAGCAGCTTCTCTCTCCTGGTGAGTGAGTGCAATATTTTTATTCTCAGGTTTTTAAATCTCCAGTGGCCTGTTTACAAGCCATTATAACACCATAATATGAGTAGTTACGTATTTAAAGTGTGTGTGTGCTGCAGGAGGTGAGTCTTTTGCACTTTGTGCATGTGTGAAAGCAGAAATATGCCCTTGGGCCAGTGGATGTTACCGTACACCAGTGAGATGCTTTGGTGCAGCGGAAAGGCTATGCTGTGTTTTCTGAAAGGTCTCAAGTGTAAAGGACCTTTCTGTTCTAGTGCAGGTTTCTGTGGCATACTGACCCACTGCTTTTGGCATTTGCAACAGAAGAATTTTGGCAACTTGAAGATGGAATTTGTGAGTGGTGGAAACTGAACAGGTGGGGAGGGCATTGCTAATCCAAAAAGTGAAAGCAAGTCAAGAGAAGAGCCAACATAGAGCTACACATCTGTTAGAAGACATAGAACATAAACTTCCATTAAATATCAGCAGTAATTACTGGGCATAAAAAAATAAAGAATGAACGCATAAGAGCTTAGGTTCGAAAGACAAGCTGCCAGCCTCTGCTGGTGAAACAGGGACTGGCATGGTGGGGAGTGCTGCAGAGGTGTCTTTTGCTGTGAACAGAGTAATACGGACTTTTTGTAGTTTCCCAACAAATGCATTTATCTCCTAAGTGTAAATGCTGCCTTTGACATGTCACAATCAAAACCTCTTCCAGGCAAGCTTGCTGTGCGCTGGCATTGCTGTTCCCTCTGTTTAGGCAGTAAACAAACATGGTTATAGCTGCTTTGGTTAACTACTATTTTTTTCTCTTCAATCTTCCACTCATGTGTACAGGTCTTCTGTTTTTGACAGCTGTATCTGATACTCATCCAGACCAGTTCGTATACAAAACATTGCCTCCTGGCACACAGGTGGACAACTCGGTGGATGTAATGATGAATAGTTACTTAGGTTTGTGACCACCTGAGGTGGCAGCATCTGGTCAGACATCATCTCCAGACCTGTGACATGATCCTTTCCCCTCCATCCCCACCTCATCTCAAATACATTGCAAGTAAAAGCATGTAAAGTTTGGGATTCGGATGAAGAGGAGCTTGCAAAATAATGTGGCTTCAGAGAAACACTGATTTGTCATGCATTTCTCCAAACCTCTCATCCCTCCCCCAGATGGGACTCCCTGAGTTCTTCTGAAACTGTCTCATTGTGAACTGCTGTACTTGAGAATTTTCATGGTAGTGGTGAAGTGTTTCAGAAGGGAGATTTCTGGCTGCTGGCTGGTATCTTTCTTCCTTGCAATGAGCGTTCCTTTCTACTTCAGCTTTGATTGGATATGTTAGCACATGCAGTGTATTCTTTTAACTCAGTTTTGATACATTTAAAAGTGTATTGGCTTCTATAAAGAATACATAGAACTAAATAATTTGAACATATACTTTAGGGCTGCTTATATCAAAATAGCCCATTTTGCCATTACTGTGTGAGGTGATTCTCAAATACTGTGTACATCCTTCATGTGAGAGACTGTGCTTGTGTGGTAAGTTGTGCATGTTTGCAGCTGAACGATACCGACTTGTACTTGGCAAGGTTTAGAATAATTTTACCAGAGGTGAAACCCTCATGCTATATTCAAGTGGTAAGGCTGGTGTTCAAGTTCTAAGTTGGTATGTTTAAAAATGATCTTGTATTTGGTGTCTATGAAAAGTAGATCTGAGTGAGCAATGCAATAATAGGTTTAGTGGGTGAAATACTTAATGTTACATACGGAGGAGCATAGACTTGTAAACATGCATCCACGAGTCCACATTGAAACAGAGAATTCCCAGTGCATTGCACTGTATTTTAGGCACAAATTGTATTCAATATACCACTTTAATATAGTTGGGGAATTTATTTTTCCTGTCAGCAATACAAGCTGTCAGTTTGTTTGTTTATTCATATTTTGTTTCTTTGTTAAAGGTTTCTCTTTGGACTCTGGTAAAGGAATTGTCTCCCAAGATGAGATGACTTTTGTGTCTGGTGCCCCAAGAGCCAACCACAGCGGAGCAGTTGTTCTGTTGAAAAAAGAGAAAAATCAGAGAGCGCTGTCACTCGAGCACATGTTTGAAGGAGAAGGGCTGGCTTCTTCCTTTGGCTATGATGTTGCTGTTGTGGATCTCAACAATGATGGGTACGGCGTTGGGTAACTCCTATAATGAAGGATGGCAATGTGGTTATTTCTGCTTTAATTTTCCTCATTAGAAATGCAAGGAATGCCAAATCCCATCTTCCATGTTTTGCTGGAGGAAATGGCGGGCATCTCAGAGAACCAGTCAGGACACAGTCTACATTTCTTATTACAGAAAAGAGTTTTATTTGAGTTTAAACAATTAGTGAAAACACAGAAAGAAAACCCAAATGCCATACCTGATGAAGGCCCTAGATGATCCTTGTATGTCACAAAGGGAACGTGAGCAGCTTGTGGTTTCAGTGGAGCTGTTGTTGCTCAACCAGCTCAGTGTATTTTTTAGCTTTTGTTCAGGACCTCTTTGGGACCTTGAGACCATGGTCCGATCAGTCTATCAGTTATTTTCCACAGTCCTTCTGTAAAAGCACCCCTTCTTTTTTTCCTCTAATTCTAAGGTGGCAAGACATTGTTGTTGGAGCCCCGCAGTATTTTGACAGAAGTGGAGACATCGGTGGTGCTGTCTATGTCTACATTAACCAGCAAGGCAAATGGGACAGAGTAAAGCCCATTCGCTTAAATGGAACCACCGACTCCATGTTTGGTCTTGCAGTTGAAAATGTTGGGGATGTTAATCAGGACGGATATCCAGGTGAGTGAAACACGACTGCGATACAAATGTATGGGACTTTCTTGCTAACGCCAGGCTTGGAACACCCTGTATGTACCCTTAGCATGATTGCAAGCTGCAGAAAGAGCAAGAATGGTTTTAGATGTCACAACTTCTTTTCAACAGATATTGCAATAGGGGCTCCCTATGATGGTTTTGGCAAAGTATACATTTATCATGGATCCAAGAACGGAATAAACACAAAACCAGCACAGGTAATGAAATAACCTTTACTATATACATTTAGTCTTGCACAAAATGAAAGGAATGTCAGGGCTACCCATCTTCTCCCTTTCCACTGCTATTAGCGGGGTGGGGGATACGCAGAAAAGTCACAGGGCCCTTCTAAGATTGCACTGCTGACCAGGAAGTTTAGAAATCCTTGATTTCAATTCACATTTTTGCTTCCTGGGGCAGTCCTTTGGCAGCAATAATATGTAGAGAAGGAAAAAGGCATGTAGGTGTGTAAGTCTGGTTTTTTGAAAGAGATTTTGGGATTTTAAAATAGTTCATTTTCTCTTGCACTACTGCTACTTCACTTTTTAAGAAGAAATGTTTATGCCTTTTTCTTTTTTTACTTGAGGACTGCTGTGTTCAGTTTGCAAGGTGAGAACGGAACTTGATTACGCTTCCTACAATACTGTTAGAATATTTTCTAGATAATTTTTCAGTTTCAAGTGCCCGTACTGCATAAATACTATAAATAAAGATAAGCTAGGTTACATCTGTGTGCAAACCAGTGATTTCTGGTACTCACTGCTACTGCAAAATGAGTTCTTGGAAGAAAAGCAAATCTTGGCACTTGAGTGTCATCTACCTGAACACAGAGATCCTATTTCCTTGTATCTCTCTATTTTTCTTTCTTCTGGCCATGAGACAATGATGTTCACTTGTTACTTATTTCACTTCTATAGCTTTCAAATGTCTGAATTCCCTCAATCTGTTTGATCTTCAGATTCTTGATGGTGAAAAAACAGGCACCAATTTTTTTGGTTACTCAATTGCTGGAAACATGGACCTGGACAAAAACTCCTACCCTGATATTGCTGTTGGTTCCCTTTCAGATTCTGTTTCTGTGTTCAGGTATTATATACAGAACTGGTATTATATACAGAACCAAGGCTTTAGGTTTAGTTTTTTTAAGCACCAGACTGCTTAGAAGTAACAAAAGCTGCTTGGCCTGGAGTGTATTTTTATTTCTAGAAGTTGGAAATTCTGGAGGAAAAAAAATCCATAAATTGGTTTGTTACTTTAGCCCTCTCTTCCCATTGAGAAGCTGCCTTACAATCAATACAGGGTAAGAGGGTGAATGTGGACAGTTATTTTGGAGCACTGATGTGTGCAGTATATCTGTACCCTAGCTTTGCCCAGTGGTAACTTGGATGCCCATGTCCTTTGATGTAATTAAGGGCCTCAAGTAATTATTTTGCCTTAAGAAAGGAGAAGTTAACTGATATATTTGCTAGAGCTTTTGTTTGCTGCTGTTACAAATCTAACCCTGCTGTATTGAAGATAGAACAAAAAAATTCAAACCCCTCTTCCATAGCTGAGGATCCAAAAGCAGTGAGGTATACAGCCTTGCTGATGTTCCAGTGGATGGTCCATGGAACAGCTCTGAGGCAGCCCTGCAGACAGGATCTTTTTGGATTTTGGTGGCATATGCCTTAATTAGGGATGAGGTCATGGTCTTTTGCAGACCTCTGCTTTTTACCAGTTTGATGTACTGTAAATCATTAGTAATGAGCAGGAAGAGGACTGTCTCCTCATCAGAGCTGTGACTGCTGTGTCAGCTTCAGGTCTTTGGTGGTTGCTGTCAGGTCCCAAAAGAGGAGGAACAGAAACTCACAAAACTGGTTACCTCAGTTCTGGGTATGGAAACAACTCTACCTTTCAGACAGACCACCTTTCCTACAAGTTTTTTTTTTTTTGACCATCCCATCTCTAAGGTGTGTAGTATTTGTGTACCTAATTGGAATGTTCTTAAATACACTGAAACAGGAGCCAACAAAAGCCACTCACATTGCTTGTGGAAGAGAACAGAGTAGGTGGAAGAGAGGTCGGTTAGATTATTAAGTGTTCTGCTTACTCAGAAGGAGCTTTAATCATTTGCTGCTAAGGGCAGTATGAAAACTTGTACAAAGATGAGAATGAAAACCTTTGTGGTGGCCAACAGTGGTGGCCTGCTTAAAAGAAATGTGCTAAAAGAGGAGGCGGGGGCTTACTGGCCATTTTCAGCAACCCTTAGATGCTTTGATGGGATCAGCTTGTTCATTTGCTCATGTGAACTGTCTTTTCTTGTCCCTTCCAAAAAGGAAGAGAAAGGAAAAGTTGTCAGGCTGAATTATGGTTACAGCCTACATGCGGAGGAGTCAGGAAATGAAAACAGCATTTCCCACAGCCACCCAGGCTCTACATTAAAGCTGTTGTGAACATTAATCTGAATGAACTTCAGTACCTACAGTAGTTCACACGGGCTGAATTACCATTGGGGTGGGAACCATCACTGTGAGTTTTCTGTTTGTTATTCATGTGTAAAATGACAACCACGTTGTCATGTTAGCATACCCTGCTTCTCAGGCAGGCATTTAATTATGATTGTGTTGGGTTTTGTGACTCGCTTTGCTTAAACTTTGAGTAGTTTTGTTTCTAACTATCATCAAAGCCTAACTCTGTTTCCTGGGGTGTCTGTTGCAAATCCGTGCAGGCATGGAGGGTGTCTGGGATTCACATGAACTACTACGTTGGTCTTAACAGAAACTTTTCTTTCTTTTTTTACCTGTTTCCATTCCCCATCTTTCCCCAAATGAAGATCTCGGCCTGTGATAAGCATTAAAAAAAGCATTACGGTACAGCCTGACCGAATTGATCTGAAGAAAAAGAACCCTGAGGACCCCAGTGAAATATGGTAAAATAAAAAAACCAACAAAGAAGCGTATCAGAAGCCTTGGTGTATTGTGATGATGTTAAAGTGGAGGGCTATGACAGTCATGCAGGTTAAGCAAATATATCTACCTGTGATCATTTTGACTTCCTGAATTTGCTGTGACCACTTTGCTAAAGACAAGCTGTGGAATATGTTCTGTTCATAATGTCCATTTTTGAAAATGAATGCCACTGCCACTTCAGATTTTTAACACTTGGAAGTATCTTAACTTGAACAGCTCTCTCACTAGAGATGTAAGAGCAAATGCCAGAAAGTATTTCTTTTAATTGTTTATTAACTATTTTTCTTGCTTAGTAATTCCGTTTAGTAAGTAGCAAATTACTGTTCTAGCATGAAAACCACAGTCCTAAGATTGATAATATCAGTCAATGGACTATTAAAACTTTTCAGCCTATTGGACCATGCGTTATTCATTTCTTGGCTCTTTTTACAGGATGGATGTGAAAGCCTGTTTTCAATATACTGCAAACCCCAGCAATTTAAATCCACGAATAAGTAAGTTTTGAAGATAAATGTTTTTGATGTGTTTGTCTGTCATGTGGTCTGTGTTTTGTTGCAGGGTTTTTTTTATTATTAATATAATTTGGAGCATGTAATGGAAGAACAGTACTCAAATTATAGTGACTAACCTCGGACTGTGACTATCAAATGTAGAATGTGACTCAGTACTAAGTCAGCTACCACACCATCTGTATTTAGAGTCATGCTGGTGTGTTACGAAGTTCACAACAGACTGAACTGAAGTTTTCTAGGTAATGTAACTGCCAGTGAGCAAGAGGCTGCCATACAGACCAGCACCATTTTGCTTCTCTAGGTTAGTGCTGCTTTAGAAAGCAGTTTTAAAAGCCCAACTTACAAATCTTTAGTAAGCATTGTTTCTTACTGGAGACTTACATAAAGCGTTCTGTATTGATGAAAATGGTTTTGTTGAAAAGTAATGGAAATAAAAAATCTTTTTATTAATAGGAGCCTGGGAGACTGCCATAAATGCCGTTAGAAATGTAAAGCATTAGTTCCTCATGTCTCCTCTTTTTTCTCTTGTTACAATGCTGCTGTTATTACATCTTGGAAAACTCTGTAGGATTTTGAGAGGAAATGAAAAGAATTTTAAGCCCAAGCCCCCTTCTCCCCGTTACTTGTGAAATCCGTAGGATGGATAAGATCCTGGTCCTTCAACAGGTCTAGTGCTTCCAGCTCTCAGAGGCTGCTCGCATGTGCCCGTCTGCACATTCCCGAGGCCTGGCATGCTCGATGCTGTTTGCAATTCTTGGAACATTGAGCTGGCTTGGTGAACAGAGAGAGGGTTAAAAGATGCAGAGTTCAGATCTGTCAAAACAGGCCTCAGCATACAACTAAAAAGCTATAGTCACACTTTTGCTTTCAGTGTTAAAATTAACAGTGTAGCTTAACCTCAAAACCCTGCTGGCTGCTTAGGTGCCTTTTGGGATAAAACAGAAACCAAGGACAGCCGAATCAGTATTCACAGTGTTTTGTATCTCAGCCCTCTACTGGCTCCTCAGCAGCAATTACAGCTCCTCCTGCCAGCTCTGCGTGCTGGTGAAGTATCAGGGCACTTTGGGAATAAAAGGGTTTGGTGTAGAAGTTTCCTTTAGGTACACACACAGAGTACCTGGCCCTCCACCGGAGAGGGGCAAAACTGACACATGGAGTTCTGTAAATAACTGAGAACAGTTTGTGAAGCCCAGCACTGCTGGAACAGTCTTCCAGAATAATGTTGTAAGGTCATACCTGGAGAAATTAAAGTTCCATTTAATAAAGCAAGGGTTCTTTTTATAGTGACTTACTTTATTTGTTCACCTAGAGATCAAGTACACGTTTGAAGCAGAAAACGAGAGGAGGCAGTTAGGCCTGCCGTCCAGGGTGCGGTTTAAAGACCATCTGTCTGATCAGTTCACTGCAAACACAACCCTAAGGGGGCAGAACTCAAGAGAGTGTGTGACAACCAAGCTTGTACTGCAGGTAAGGCAGAGTATTTAATTTCATTTAGACCCACTGAAAACAAAAGCGTGCTCTTTTTTTCAGCCTCATGGTACCTTTGTATATAACTTAAAAGTCACATGCATTATAAAGTTTTAAAAAAACCAACACTTAAGTAGTACCTTACTATTCCCTGCACACATGCTGCTTCTTCCTGTTGCTTTTCTTACAAAGCATGAATAAAAGTTGTAGCCACTGCAGCAATAGACAGGGAATAGATGCCAAAACTGGAGAGCTGTTTCCAACAGAAGTAACTGTTATAGAATTTAATGGTGTCACTGGCTAGGAAAAGAATTTTAACCCATGGGTTTTGGAGGGGATGACTGGGCAGGACAAGAAAGCCTGGTAAGTGCTCTGACTTGGCTGCTACACCAGCTCTTAAAGATGGCATTGCTCCAGCAGCTGAAAAAACTCTCTGCTTGTGGCTCAGCAGTAATGAACCAGCCTCCAGGGTTGCTTTTGACCACAGCAAATTGAACAGCTTGAACTTAATGCAGTAGAATCACAGAATGGTTTGGGTTGGAAGGGACATTATAGATGACCTAGTTCCACCCCCCTGCCACAGGCAGGGACACTGTCCGCTAGACCAGGTTGCTCAAAGCGCCATCCAACCTGGCCTTGAACACTGCCAGGGACGGGGCAGCCACAGCTTCTCTGGGCAGCCTGTTCCAATGTGTTATTTTACTGTTGTAGTGTGAATTTCATTTGCCTGATTTACCATCTGTTATTCCTAGGAACATTTAACAGTGAGAGAAATCATCACTGGGAAGACAGGAAAAATACCCAAACGAGCCAGCCAGTAGGGCTGGGCTCCTTGTGTTCTTGTGCATTTTTAGAAAGTGCTGGGTTTCTATATAGTGAATAGTTTCAACACTGGAAAATGTAGCAGGAAAGATTCTGCTTTACTGCTTGTTCTAAAATGGACAGCAAAAGCTAGTCCTTGTGTTGATTTTCTTCTCTGCACATTTTTAAATTTAAAATATTTCAACAGGAAAAAATCAAAGATAAGCTACGACCCATTCCAGTGTCAGTCACTGTTAAAATTGCTGGCCTGGAGTCAAGCTCACCGTCCACAAGAAAAGACAGAGCACTTCCAGATCTGCTACCAATTCTAAATTCAAATGAATCTGAAACAAAGACCACAAAAGTAAGTCTTTGATACCACGTTTTCTCACAAATCTGCACTTTGATGGATCACTGAATTTTAAAAACTGTAGAAAGCTAAATGATGACCAGAGGAAGTAACTGGGGTGGCACTGGACGTGTAACTACTGGATTGTATTTTGTATTTGTTAGGAGCTTGTTATGGAATGTTATGAACTAAATCCTGTGTTTCTTTTACAATAGAAGTGGAGATAATATAGCTGCCAGGTTGGTTGTTTTTGGTTTGGGTTTTTTTTTTTTTTTTATCTCTGTAACAAGTTTAGGAAGAAATGTACTTTCAATTAAAAAAGTGGAAATCCTTCCTCTCTTGCTGTGAACACTTGCACACATCATAAAGTAATGTACCGTCTAATTTTTCCATGGTTAGGATGCTGTAACAGAGTTAGAACTCTGCAGCAGTGATGTAAAAGAGAGGGAGTATCTTGAATAAGAGATCTCATTTCCTTACCGCTCACTGGAGAATCAGACTTAAGGATCTTTTTCCTTATTAGAAGTGTCTCTCACTTAGAATTATGTAACTGTACCTTTTGGTCACGTTTTTAAAGTTCTAAATTTATCAGCACCAAGGGCTATGTCTCACAAAGAAAAACACTCTTGACAGGCAAGAGTCAGGTTAAATCTTATTCCATCCAGGAGAGTGTCTCTGATGCTTCATGCAGTGCACGTCAGGAATCTTGTTCTAAGCTATTACCACGTGACATGCAGTAAAAGTCCTTTGGTTTTATTTAGGTGGAGTTCTTAAAAGAAGGATGTGGAGAAGACAATGAATGTCACAGCAATCTGAAACTTCAGTACCGGTTTTGCTCTAGAGAAGGAAATGAAGACAGGTTTACTTACCTACCGATGTAAGCCTTGATTAATGCATTGCTAAAATTCTAATTATTAACAAGTGCTTAAAAGAACTTCTAGGAGAGGTTTTTGGGCAATAGAGCAGCTTTGTTCTTTTAGTTTGGCAAACACAGCCCTGTGCGGCTGTACTGTCAGGGTGAGGAAAATGGGGTGTGGCGATGAGCTGGAGAAGAGCAGCAGTGGTGCTGCAATCAAGTGGGTGCAAGTGACCACAACTGCGCGCATGTGGGCTACAAGTTAGGAAAAAGTTTCTGACCCCTGGAGAAATGTGATTCTGAACCAGCCTTGCAGAAGTTTGTGTGAGATACCATTAGTGTATATATAGTATGATATATTATAGTGTCAACTATTTCTGAGTTGAAATTTGTGAGTATGACAACATGACATATTATAGTCTACTGGTCCTAGACAAGCACAGAGAAGTGAACAGAGAAGCACTTTCACTGTGACACACCTAACATCCTGCTGCATCCCTCCTCCCTGGAGGACTAGTGAAACTGGAAAAAAGGGGTACAACACATGAAAGGAAGTATGCCTCCTTACTGTCAACAGTCAGTCACTTTTAGCAGTGAGTGCCACAACCTGACTCAGAAGCCAAAACCATGTATATTTTACAAGAAAAAAGTAGGTCAGTAAATTTATTCAGGGAAAATTCACCACTATTAAACATGAGCCAGAGGCAAGTGCTGGTTCAGAAATACTACAACCTCTTGATCACCTGAGGGGTGTATCAGTCTGTTCTGTCCTGTTAACTGCTGGCTGCTATCTGAGACGAAATACGAGTCTGGGAGAAAAACCTCCGACTATTCATGTGTTTAAGGTCTAACAGCACTTCTTCCCTAATGGAGGGAATTATATTTGGGCAAACCATAGTAAGAAGCAAATATCTGTCTTCCTAATGTACAACCCTGTATACTCTCTTTCTGTAGAGAAAATGGTGTGCCGGTGCTTGTTCTGAAAGATCAGAAAGATATTGCCCTGGAGATAACAGTGACAAACAATCCATCTGATGCAAAAAATCCACAGAAAGATGGTGAGGATGCATATGAAGCTAAACTAATTGCAACTTTTCCAGACAGTCTGACGTATTCTGCATTCAGGGAGATGAGGGGTTATCCTGTAAGTACTTTTCAGAGAAAAGCTACACAAATTTTAAATATGTTCAGCATATTTTTACTTTTAAATGTATTCTGTTTCATCAGGAAAAACAGCTAACATGTGGTGCTAACCAAAATGGCTCTCAAGCAGAGTGTGAACTTGGAAATCCTTTTAAAAGAAACTCAAATGTAAGTTGCGCCTATTTTACTCAGGTTACAAAATCTGATTCCTGATTGCAGTTGTCCAAAGTTTCTGTGTGTCATAACTGGAAATTTGGTTTGGATCTGTATCTGTCCTTTTAACTCAAACTTGATGGTGTATTTCTATAATGCTGTATTGTTCTTTCTTGTCTAGGTAACCTTTTATCTGATCTTAAGTACCACTAAAGTTAATGTTGACACAACAGACCTGGACATCAATCTGAAGTTGGAAACGTAAGTTTTCTGTGTGCACATGCTATGTTTTGTATACAGTTGTAAACAATTTGAATTAATTTGTTTGATTCACAAAAGCAATAGTAAGTGAAGTGAATACTGCTGAATCTGTAAAATAAACAGCACTGTTTCGTTTTCATTGTAGAACAAGCACTCAAGTGAATTCGACACCAATTACAGCTAGTGCTAAAGTGGTTCTTGAATTGCTTTTATCACTCACTGGGTACGTGTTGATAGCATAATAAACAGGGGACTGGGGACAACAGTTTTGCCACAGACTTGATTAAAATCTATTTGTTCTCCTTCTCCACCCTTACCTGAGCAGAGTTGCTAAACCTTCTCAGGTGTATTTTGGAGGCAACATCATTGGTGAGAGTGCTGTGAAATCTGAAGATAATATTGGAAACCTCATAGAGTATGAATTCAGAGTGAGTAATTTAGATTAACGCCAACAGCTGGTTTCAATCAACAGTTTCTCTCTTTATACGTATGAATATGAAAAAGTTGCTGGCTTTAAATGGGCTTTTCTTCTCCCAAAATCCTGACTTCCCATGAAGAAGAACATGCAGTGTGACTGCAGACTAGAGCTTCTTTTTAGGCCTTGATGGATTATGGTCTTTTGAGTAAGTGGCCTGAGGTTCACTTGTTTTTCCAGAGCAGTTCATGCACATTCAGCTGTACAACATACACAGGTAGGGAGTAAAACTGAGACACAGAACCCTAACTGTGGTGTGCTCAGGCATTAGCTGATGCCCACAGACAGTGAGTATGTGTACTTGCTGCATGCAGGACTTAGCAGGTGTAAGGTGACACTGTGGGAGCCACTTTGAATGTGTGGATCTGTTTCACTCTTGGTCTTCTGCTTAATTAATAAATCGAGGAGGAGGCTAAGAGAGATTATTTTTGTTCTGTAAAAACTCTGTTTATCAGCAAGAGAGTGGCTTTTACTACATCATTAACACAAGCCCCTTCATACATAGTAGTTTGTCAGGATTAAAGTCCATCTCTGTCAACACTTCATGTTCTTCTATACCTCTGTGTGTGTGTGTGTGTGTATATATATACACACACATATATATACACATATATATATATACACACACACACATATATATGTGTGTATATATATATACACACACATATATATATATACACACACACATATATATGTTAAAGTAGCAGCAGTTAAATATCTGTTTTAGAACTTGCTATCATGAACAGTAACACCAAGAAAGCAAAAAACAGGTTGGGTGGGAAACAACTTCCAGACTTAGGAGAACAAGAGCTGGTTCTTCTGTGTCAGAGTTCCTCATAGACTTGCACTTTGCCTCACTTACATAACTGATTTTTTTTTTTTTTAATTCTAAGTTGGAGTTGTTGTTGTTTCCACATGAAGACAGATTTCTAAAAATCAACACCTTAAAGTTCACGTTAGGGAATTTTAATCCTTATGTTTCAACTCTCGTTACTTGCTATCCAAGCATGCTAGTTTTATACTATTTTTTACTGTCTTTCTGCTTTAAAATTTCTTGTTAGCTGCATGCTTAAAACTTGCCTGTCATTAACAGTTTTGATTGAGAAGAAAATCCCTTTAAAAAGTATTTCACAGTTTAAAGAATGTTTATTTTAACAGGTAACTAACTTGGGCAGACCACTGAAAACCTTTGGTACCGCTTCCCTGGACATCCAGTGGCCGAAAGAAATTAGTAATGGCAAGTGGCTGCTTTATTTGATGAAAATAGATTCCAAAGGATTGGAAAAAGTTTCCTGTCAACCCGAAAACGAAATCAATAGTCTGCGTGTTGCGGTATGTTACCCTGTCTTCTGTTCATGAATTACTAAAACATGAAAGCACTACAGCATGTGGCAGTGGGGCATAAGAGCTTGTCTCCAGAAGGGGTTTTTTGTCTTAAGCAGCTCACAAGCACAATACATGAACAGTGGATCAAGGGTTTAGCTTATTAGGAGACTTCACCTACTGAGGATAATGTGCTTTTAAGGATAGATGCGCTGTCATTGTGGTGGATGTTTTTGCAATGGGCACTGCTGTCATAAGCTCTTACAGGATACAATTGCTGACTGCTTTAACAAATTTCATCAGCATTACTGAAATCTGTTCACAACAAACAGTAAGCATCTCCCCAGCCTGAGGGAATTCCACGTGCTTTTATTAATAAGAAACAAGCCAGCTTGCATTGAAATTTCCTTATTTACAACAAGTAACATAAAAATTTTTCCACCACGTGTCACAGCCCTTTCGTCGTGCCTGTCTAGAAAGATTCCCCCCCCACCCCCCCATGCCCTGTAATCTTAAAATCATGTTGGAGGACATATGCACATAAACCCATTCTGGTCCGATCACTTCATCAGTTAATGAACTTTCATTATGAGCGTAATTAGTATACATACAGTTAAAAAAATTCGACCTTAGCAGAATCTTATTCTTTTAGCACAGTAAAGTAACATCAGAAGTTTTATAAATCTAAACTTTTGACCTATTAAAGAAAGTAATGAGTTGACCTCTCTAGGTAATCTCAAATTCTAGTAGTTGTCCTGACTCTACTATTAGCAATAAATGTGGGTAAGTAGGGATACATAACGATGTCACTCATGCTGACCTTGGAACAAGAAAATACTCACAGAACTTGTTTCTCTGGTTGTATGGGGTCAGAATTAAGAGATACTTACGATAAGCTACTAAAACTTTTTCTTTCCTTCTTTTAGGAATCCCATAACTCAAGAAGGAAACGTGAGGTTGCAGAGAAGCAGATTACAGACAGCAAGACACTTTCTTTATTCTCAGAAAGAAAATACAAGACCTTGGTAAGTATATTGCAGCAATGCAGTGTTGACACACACTACCCACTGTGCTCGTAAGAGGGCTTTTCTGAGTTTGCAAGGGTGAAAGATGGCATCGCTTTGCTTTTGTCTTAAATCCAAGTATCAATTCTTTTAAAATTTGTGCATTAACATTATCTACTGATGAGAGAGAAACAGGAAAGAATTCCTGCATAGTTAGCTACATTAAAATAAACAAGTAATTGCATCTTCCTTGTGTTTTCCTATTGCTGTTAGTACAAACAGATTTTGGTTCTTGCACATAAATATGCTGCATATAATCCAATTTTTAATCTTGGGGGAGAGGGTGTTAAAAAATTTGTGGGGATATGTTTTTATTTACATGCAGAAATTTGTAATTGCAGGACTGCAATGTGAATGCACGCTGTGTGGACATAAAATGTCCCCTGAAGGGTTTAGACAGCAAGGCATCTATCGTGCTACGTTCCAGACTGTGGAACAGTACTTTCTTAGAAGTAAGTCCCCCTTACATGCCCTTTTTGGAATGTCAAAGCTCTTTCCTGTTCTGTGTCTAAGGTCTGTGTTTTATTTTGGAACAGGAATACTCCAAAATGAATTACCTGGACATTCTTGTTAGGGCTTCTATCAGTGTTCCTGCTGCAGCCAAGAATGTTAAGCTTACAAATGAAGTTGCTCAGGTAGGTTCAACATATAATGCTAACCATAGGTTATGGCTGTGATGTTTCCAGCTTAAACCAAAGGCTGGGGTGGGGGTGGGGGAAACGAAAAAAAAACATCCACAAGCACCAACCAACTGAACAAACCCACCACAAAACCAGAACCAAACAAAACCTAAAGCCCCCGCATTTTAAAATAGCTAAATGCTTAGCTTTTAATTAAAAACTTGATTAATCAATTGCTTTTACCTTTTAATTGGGAATGGAAAAATTCACTACCATATTGAAGTAATACCAGCAGGAACCTTTTCTTCAAAAACATTTTGCAGGTGAGAGAGAGAAGGCATCTTGTTAGAGAGAATATACTGCTACAATCTACAGTCTTAAACATGGGCCCTCCTGAAATACTTTTTCCATCTTGACATGTTTCCTCTCCTTTAGGTGCGTGTTACTGTCTTTCCTGCAAAACCAGTAGCCCTTTATACAGGAGTACCTTGGTGGATCATTGCAGTGGCTATTTTTGCTGGCATATTGATGCTTGCACTGTTGGTATTCTTACTATGGAAGGTGAGTTGTTCTTCATCTGGTTATTTTATATTTCCTGGTCTAGAACTGACAGGACAGCAGAATTATTAAGCAAATGATTGAGTACTATGGTTTGTGTTTGGGACTCAAATTAGAGCAAAGCTGCCCAAACCATACACTGCATTTATGAGTCTGTTTTGCAACAGTTGGAATTAAAATGATTACACAGGATGACTTGTTACAAAATTTTTCAGTTTCCACATCCTCAAAATGAAGTATTTTGAGCTCTGGGCAAACCTTGGATCAGAGACTGCATTTACTTTGTTATGGATGGATACAGCTAACTGGGGCTTGTGCAGTTACGTGTGAAACTTCATGTGAGCTACCTACAAATGTTTTAGCAGGGCTTTGTTCCCAATAGCATTAGAAACTGATAGTATTAAACTGACAGTATCACAGAAGGTTAACAATTTGCAAAATAAAAAGTACCAATTTTTTTAACTACCTTTGGCATTCTTACACTGTTCCAAGTATTAACAGGGCAGTTCTTTCAGTTTTTAGAGACACGGGCAGTTAGTAAGTGCTTTTACAGGATAGCAGAAGGTTACTTAGAAGAGGTTATGAAGAATATCCTGTCGCTTACTTTCTTCTGGAGAAACTACAGCAATTAGCTTTGCTGAGGAGCTCCTATTTGCTGCAGAGTACCTCTCATAGGATAGTTCCAATTTCCCTATTTTCTAAATAGTGCCCAGCCCCTGCTGCAGATCTTCCTTATTAATTCTCTGAGTGGGCTGTTAGGTTATAATTACTAGTGCTTTACTGCACATAATCATACATGCTTTTTCCCCACATATACACACACAGCATAAAATGAATCTTCTGATGACAAACACTGTGCCATCTTCTGAAGGACAAATGTGGTACTTCATAGAATTACATGACTGATTTAAGACAAATGCTTTTGTTGTACAAGTCAAAGTAGTGCTCATTTTTGTCCTACCCTATGTTTTTGTCTGTGCTGTGTACCAGTCCACAAACAGATTTCTATATAGATTTCTTTCTGCTTTTCACTGCCAGCTTTAGTTGCTGTGGACCTACTTTATTAGTGGCTTTTCTTAAAAAAGGAAACACCAAAACCCAAACACCAGCTGCATTACAAATTTAACAAAGTACTTCTAAACCAGCATTTTTTACCTCAGGTTATTCTGTTATTTTACAGATTGAGATAGTCCAAGAAGTTCTCAGATCTAGAAAGTGCTGAGACCTTGCCATTTTTTTTGGAGGGGGGAGAGGGGGACCGCGAAGGGATAATGGGAAGACAGTTCACAGAGTTAATTTAAGTCAGTTGTAATAGGTTTGACTTCTTCCAGGTCACAAAAATTGACTAAATACCTTGCTTCTTTATAGTGTGGTTTCTTCAAGAGAAATAAGAAAGATCATTACGATGCCACATATCACAAGGCTGAGATCCATGCTCAGCCATCTGATAAAGAGAGGCTTACTTCTGATGCATAGTATTGATCTACTTCTGTAATTGGTAATTGATGGTATTTTTTAATTTTTAGCTGTGGCACATGCTCTGGTTGTTGCGGTGGCTAACTATGGAGCTTCTACTGCATATGTTCTATTAACTTTTGGATTTCAAACTATCATACTTGCTTGCTCATTCTGTTGATAGATTTTCAGCTTTGGTGCACGTGAACGCACACTGGCATTTACCTTGGTCTAAAAAGCTTCTTATTTATTTCTTTAGCAAACATGCTGATCTCTTGCAATGGTTTTAGTCTTTTTTTAATTTTTGTTTTAGCAGTACAAGCAAGTTTTTAAGCTTGAGAGATGGTAATCAGCACTGCAGAGTTAAGATATAAAGCTAAGACTATGTGGACAATAGATGAACTTGCTTTACTAACCTTTAATGCATGCTAAAAGGTACATGTTGCTTATAAAGAAAGGGGTTTTCATAATGAGAATTTAATTGCTGTGGAAACATCTGGTTTTCTTCAATTCTAAGGTATACTTTTCTAGGAACACACTTTCTTCTGCTGAAGCTACTAGATGCATGATGATTTATGCTCCTAGCAACCTTTATTCAACTTGAGATATTACATGCATGTACATTATCTTAATAAGTAATGCTTGGGATGAGGGGCTGGGGAGGAGTTACTAACTAAAATATGTCATGTAAGTATTTAAAGAAATCTTAACTAAGCGATGGCTAAAGATTTGGCCTATGTCTCAGTGCAATTTTTTAAATTCAGTCCTATGTAAGTTCTAGTATTGTTTAAAAAAACAAAACAAAGAAACCCAGCAACAACCAGGCAAAAAGACAAACCCCATCACCCCAAATACTGTGAACAAAACTATGTTCCTTGAAGCTTTTTTTCCCCTCTAGCAGTACCATAGTGACAGCTGGATGGCACAAATGTCTACCTATCATCATCTTTGTAATGCTGCAGCTGTAACTTCATTTTGTTTTGAAAATTAATTCCAATCCATTCATCAATATTTAAAATCAGTTTTTACAGTGGCTTTGAATAAAAACTTGCAGAGCACAAAAGCTGCACTAGGTTTCATCAAGGGAGACTTGTGTCACGGCACATTACAAAGCTTTCAAATTATGTCTGGTTTCTTATCCTGTGGCAAACTAAGCAAGAGCCATCTTCTAATACTGTGTATGGGTAGCTAACTCAGGTTGCTATAGTTGAGATGGTGCTTTGAAAAACAAGGCCCTTGTGTAACTTTTCTGGAAGGTCCTGGAAATCTTCCCATTGGTCTTTAAATTATGTCACTGTCCAGAAAGATACAGAAGTACACACCACCTTTGATTCAGGAGAAGCAAGCTTTCCTGAACTGTATCTACTGCTTTGTGTAGCATTACATTCTTTCATTACATGATTGAATAGCTTTATAGTAGATTTAAGACTTGTAAAATAAATGCAGGAAGTTAGTAGAGGGACTATTTTTAAGGTACTAGATTACCAACAGATTGTCAGACCATGCCATTTGTCTTCAACTGCTGCTTGAACAAGTAACATACACCCACTGGCTCATGTTTTTACAGCTACATATACTACAGTTTTGGCCTACCTATTTTTGTTTTCAGTTTTCTTACCTGTGCAGCCTTTACCATCTCTGTAATTGTAGTACCTTGGCAGCAACTTAAACCTAATCTGTTCTTTTTCTTCTCTGCTCCAGTGCGGGTTCTTCCAGCGTTCCAGGTACGAAGACAGTGTCCCCCGGTATCATGCTGTAAGAATTCGAAAAGAAGAGCGACACATCAAAGATGGGAAGTACAAAGAGCTCGAGACAAAACAGTGGTTCACAAAATGGAATGAAAACGAAAGCTATTCTTAGGGAAAAATCCTTCTCATCACAAAGTTCAGACAGAAGTTAAGGTTTTATTAATGGAATATTGATGGAGTTAGACCGATGAACACTACAGACACTCACCTTTTGATTGTAGATATTACTACTTATATTGAGGCTTTTGTTTGCACACTTAACATTGCTTCAAAAGACTTTATTTGCATTATTTTATTTCCAGACTGCCTCTTTCCCCCTTCAAATCTAACTCACACTTCAGAATATGCTGTGTTGATTTGGGGTCTTTTCTGCAAAATATGCAAAACCACTACAGCAGACCTCTTTCTGTGATCCTAACCTCCTTCCTAGGGATGCAAGGAATGGACAGTTAAGGTCAAGATAAGTTCTCCATCCTTCCCTCAATGCATAGTCCATTATAAACACACAGTTGCCTTAACACATTGTTCAAGTATACTTTGAAGCCCTGCCAATCTACTTTAGTCATAAACTTTGCCTGCTGCAGTAGTTAGGGCTTAACGAAAAGCATCGTCTTTAAATTACATGTGCAATAGGTCATTTTCTCACATTTTTTAAGATCAGATTGTCTGACTCTTGCTCACAACAAATATACACAGGTTCGGGGGTTTTTTTTGTTCTTTTTGTTTTTTTTGAGAGGCTTGAATATTAGGTGTACTTTTTGTATATATATATGTATATATATATTTTAGTCATTTTTGTATTTATTTTTGTTATAAATCATTGTCTTTAACTGTTAGGCCAAAGACTTAACTGAACTTTCAAGTCCACTGTGTTTTTGAACTTCAGATTGTGAGATCTGAGGCTATCACTGCATTTTAATACGTCACTGAAGGTGCCAATGCTTTCTCAAATTGTAAATACTCATTCCAGTGATGTGTATGGGGGCTTTTTCCTGATACTTGTAACTTCCTGTAGTAAGAATGATCAGGTTTTGTAACATGATCTGTATAATACTCAGGCTATTGAACAATTTGGACACCAAGCAGAAGAAGGGGTTTTAGATACAGTTTTATACTTACTGCAACCAAGTGAGAGGTTCTCTGGAAACAGCTTTCCAGCTTCATAAGGATTTCCTGTTTGGCCAAGGCATTGACTACTGCAGCTGTCACATAGCACTTGAAGGAAGCTTACCTTAACTAACGGGATCTGAGCTGATCCATGTTGAGACTACTGAATCGTCTTGCATACCTGAATGTTGATAAAAGTAGAACGACGATGTTGTGTTTTTCAGTAATCTAGTTATTGTAACATAACTGATAAAACTATTTGAAGAGTTTACTTTTTTACCCATGTTCTAAAGCTTTGGTACTATTTAAGAACAAAGATTTAGTTCACAGTTGTTTATTCCATGTGAAACAGAATTCATAAAAAGTATGCACGTTAAGTGCTAGTAATTTGAACTATGCAAAAACCTCTTGGTACTTTTTCCCCTCATGGGGTAAAAATCTTCTAGGAGGGCAGCTGTCAAGTGTCTTATTTTTACTACTAACTTTGAACATACCTTCTTGAAGGTGTGGTCACCTACAGTTATTAGAGAAAGTGCATTAATTTAACAGGCTCTTCTTCCTTCCACTATATAATCTCAGCATGTTGTGACTTTATGAACACTTACATGTGTATTTAGCTGTTACCTGGTTTTTGAGCTTTTACAATTCTGACTTACTTATTTGCTGAAAGGCTCAGCAGCATCAGAAGCCAGACTAGTCAGGGCTAAGCCTGACAAGTAGACTTGGATTTAAAAGCAGACTGTAGCCCTTGCCTAAGAACATGAATGTCTTAGCAGTGTTAAACTGAAAGTTCTTGAAAAGTAAGTCCTGTCACTGGTATACATTTATCTCAAACTGCTTTTTTTTATACCAGGTAGCAGTGCTACATCATTCCATCATTCAAAATTACCTGTGGATATTTGTATAGAAGTGTGAAATAAATGTTTTCTTTTTTTTAAATTAAACACTGGTTTGGTAGTAGTGATTTCTTACCATAATATCTGAGGTAGCCATAGCCAAGTTCACTAAAAGAGTAAGCTGGAAGCTGCAAGCTGTAACAAATTGTCTCATGCTCAATATTGCCATGACTGTGGGTGCCCTCCTCCATGCAAAGGGCAGATAAGGCAGCTGCAGGAGATAACATGCAATCTCGTGCTTGCAGGCTGTCTGCTGCCTGCTGCAGTTCCCAGCATTAGGGTGAAGTGGACATGGAGTCTGGCAGAGCAGGCTCTGGCAAAGCACCAAGTGTCAGCTCCCATAGGGCAGAGCTACCCTCCTCTCCCTACTTCACTGTTGCTGCCCAGTGTACTTACAATGCACATGGTCTTCTAAAAGTTCCCTGCCCTGACAGGTGTTTCTGGAACTAGGAAAGATGGATGTATCCCCCAAAATCAGTCAATGACTTCTCATACCTATCTGTAATTAGCAGTGGAAGTTTGATACTGACAGTCACTTACATGATTGCAGGGCACAGCTTCAATGCCACCAAAAATAGCCCCCAGAACAATCTCCAGCCCCAAAACCCAAACCAGAAAAGCAAAAAAGATGCAGAAAACCAACAGGAAACTTGTGGTTTATCTCCATTTTTAAGACACTAACCTTCAGAGGATGCTCTGCTCGCCTTTGCTGGGAGATAAGCTAAGTTAGCTGATCAGACGAAGTATAGTACAAATATATTAGGTTTTATACATGCTTATATATATTATATATAATACTAGATGTACTATATGCTACATACACAGTAGTACAGTGCTGTATGTCTATTGTATATATGTGCGTATATAAAGCCTAATGTACTATGTATTTTATATATATAGTGCATGTGTTTGTGCGTAGTAGTGTGTGTATATATATCTATATATAAAATAAACACACTACATATAGCTTAAATAGAACCCTAGTAAGTTGCAATACCTTCACATACATTTAACTGTCACAGCACAGAACCCATAATTTATGAGAGAAGCTTTCAGCATAAGGGACTATCACAGCATCATTTCTGTCATCACCTCTGCAGAAGTTAAAATGTGGAAGAGGAGACAGAAGAGGGTGCCTGGACACAAAAACCAGGAATCCAGCATGCAAGGTGAAGAGAAGCTTTTGGAAGCAGCACTAAAACACCAATATCCACTTTTAACACCCACCTTACAATGCTAAATGTCTCTGCGGCAGTGTGATTGAACTAAAATGAACAGACTACACAGCACCAGAAAGCTGCTTAGATACAACCAGCTGAACCAGCTTCTCCCAGCACAGAGTAAGCAACAGGACAGTGTCAGCAGCTGGTTTGCAAAACCCAGGAGCACAAACTGTAATGAAGCGACCTGGCAGTGCTCTGAGCCAGAACAGGCACATGTACACGTCAGCTTGCCAAGACATGCACTTGTGGCTGACAAGAAACATGTGAGCTGTGGTGGCTGCAAAAGCAGTTGCTTCAGTTTTTATCCCAGTCCTTCGTCATCTTTAAGCATCCATTTGTCTCCCCAGGTTGTGGATTCGTAATTATTACTATACTGCTTTTATAACCTCACAGCCTTGCTGGAGTCCTAGCCATGATCCTGGTGAGAAAAACACAGCGACTCCTTACCTTCAGAAACTGCCACAGAAATCTGCCTTAACCCCCAGTCAGGGTGTGATACTGTTGCTGTACAGGGCCGCAGACCTGCCATTTGTGTTTTCCACACTCAAAGCCAGACCCTGTTCCTCCTCAATTTTCTAGCTCTGAGGTACAGTTGTTTGGAAGTAGCACTTTTTCAGGCCTGGACCTGCCTCAAAGGTCCTAGAAAAGAGAAGCAGAGAACCAAGTTTTTAAACAAGCAGAAGTGTCCTTGTTGCTGCTTCCCTACTGCAGAACAACATAGAGCCCTCCTCACCACTGATACACAGCGTTAACTATTTCCTCTCATCTCTCAGTGTCTTCAGGGGATAGGGGAGGAAAGGACAAGACAAGTCAAATACTTTCGCCAGGAGTATATGAAATAATGCAACTGCTAAGTGGATTAAAAGAAATGGCTGTGGGACATTGCTTGGTTTCCTGCAGCACAGGTGACCAACATTAACACAGCTGAGAAGCATCATCATTGCCAATGGCTAACAAGACAAGCCTGTGGCTGACTCCAGCTTAGCAAGGAGAAACAACATAAAAATTACCATCCTGGACTAGTCCACAGACCCACTTGAATCAGCATCCTGACTGATGACAGCCAAGAGTTAAGTGGCATGATGGTGATACTGTGCTATTCCTGTTCCCACAGAACAGTAGTGCTCAACTTCAGTAGCTATGTAGCGTAGTTGTCCTATGGAAGAACAAGTCATCTGTGATAATCATAAAATTTCTCCAACTGCCTTCTGATCTTCAGTCACAAAGTTGAACACGGCAAAAATTCACAAACTCTGAAGTTGTTATACACTGGATAAAAATAGATAACCCCATATGTATGTTCTCATATCTACTATAATCTGATAACTCATACAGAAACCCCTCCATATTTCTGACGAACTTTGTTGCCATTTTTGTATCTTTTTATTTCTACTCCTAAAAAAAGATACCAAAGCCACATCAAGCCAATCCTAAGAATTTTCTAGCACAGCAAAAGCAGCTGAACTTACTGACAAAACCCTAAGAACAATGCCAAGCCTCTGTGCAGAGTAAGTACACAAGCAGAAGAGAGACAGGGACAGAAGGACCAGGTGGCTGTGCAGACACATAGCAAGGCATATAAACAACTGAAAGAGAAGAAAAAGATACTCTATGGATATCCATACCTGGCAACTTAAGTTTATTTTCTTAATCTATGATGTGCCCATTTTGGAGGAAAGGGAGGAAAACTAAAAAGCACCAGCATATACAACAACCAAGAACAGTGAGTTCCAATAAGGGGCTATTTATAGTATTCCCTTAACAAACAACAACGCTCCTGGCACACCCTGCAAGAACTGCCTTATTAAACCTTACATTGAAAAAAAATTAAAAAACTAAAAATGTAATGCTTAGATTCAAATTAATTGCTATGGTTTCAATTATCTTGAAGTGTAAGTAAGTTGTTCTGTCCCTTTTAAATTATGGATCCAGATATATTATAATTTCAGGAACACCAATAAGCAGGACTATGAGTAGAAAAATGCTAAATGACAAAAATAATGCATTTCTTTTTTGCTTGTGTAAGATTTTACAGACATTGGCACATCAGAACTCCAGCTCGTGTCACACTGGATCAGATCAGAGTTCACAT